ACTTTTTACTTTTATTTAATAATATATACTAGCAATTTCTATAACATCACACCTATCTAATCAGCAAAACCCAAAGTCAGTAACCTGCAGTATCCTACTGCCCCAACCTCTTATAAGAGGAACTATGTAAGAATGTTACTCAAACAAGCACAAACACGCTGCAGCAAACTGGAACCAGCAGAAAGCGGAAGCAGACCATTTATGCAACATCTTCCGACAAAATGGATAGCAACACAATTTTATCAAAAAGTACTTCATAACACAACCAGCACAATGTGTGAAAAGGATAACACTTCCATACTTCAAAAACATCTCAGAAACAACCAATTGACTGCTAGAACCACAAAGTATCATTGTAGCATGCAAACCAACTAAAGCTCTCCAAAACATTTTAAGCAAACGAAATGACTCAGTAGCCCAAGAAGAAGAAAAAACAGGGTCCATGTAAAATATACAGTAGAAGGTCTGCAATAGACACAGGCAGAAGACTACAGAACACATGCATAAACACCAACTGCTTTCAGAAGACATGACAAAAACTCCTTAATTTCACAACAGAAGGACAGACTCAGCCACAGTTTCAACTAGGAACCTATTAGTAGCTTAGACTAAGTCAAATTTAAAAATACTAGAGAATTACTTCATGGCAGCTTGTCATTCAGACAAATCAGCCATTAATAGACAGGTAGAGATAAACCACATTTTCCCACCATTCGTAGGAGACAATAAGAAAACCTAACAAGGAAACAAACCACCAAGGAAGAACCACCACCCCCCTCCAAAAAAACCCCACTGCTGCATGTAAATAGGCAGCAACCCATACTCCCGTGCACTGCTGATGTTACCTATTTGGGTAATGCAACATTTGCAAGCAAACAACCAAGCTCAGAGACCACGAAGAACTCTACAGTTCAACCTTGAGCCTACGTATATCTTCTCCTATGGGAACATTTTAAAATGCTTGAAAATTAATTGAACTAAGCAGTGTTTTAGGAAGGACCAACACATAACCTTCGTGTTCAGAACTTTCTTCCTAAAGAAATATTTAACCTAAAGAAAACACTAAAGGCTGTAATTGTGCCACTTGGAGTAACTGATTGGGACTTAAGTGTATAAGAAACGGGACTTACTTCTATGGAAACCTGTGTAGGACTATTGTGTCTGAAAACAGATTTTAGTCTGCACAGCTCTATGACTGCCTCCTCCAATCAGGTCTTTCTTGTTATCTCCTCAATGCTACAGAATATTTGAAGGGCAGCAAATTGAGAACACTGATTTATATCCTAATAAATATGTTAGTCTATTAGATGGCACTTGATCCTTTGTTGCTCATGCCAAGGCAGTCCTGGTCTATCATCTCAGATGTTATGTAACCATTCATCTGCCAGCTCCATGCACTCCACATGGAATTGAAAATGCTGATATTCTCTGACTTCTGCTCCATCGGCTTGGAAAATTAAACTTAGTGGCAGACTTAAGCAATGTAATTCTGACATTTTTTCCAATACTTTCCTGAGGATAAATAAATCAAGAAGGATTACCTTGTTGCTTCTTTTTCTACTATATTTGATCAACCCTTGAAGATTCTGTAATAAGATTTGAATGCATCTCTCATGTATGATGCTTTGACTCTAAAGTTGCACAAAGAGATTTTTAAGAGACCTCAGCCATGATCAGCCAGATCACATTTAGAGATGGGACTTTGAGAGTTTTTTCCAGTCAAGGAATATATATTAATTGAGCCTGGAGTAGGAACAAAGAAAGCAACAGCTTTCTACAGAGGCATTACCAGAGAGAAAGATGAGTCACCTTTTTGTCCCGAAAACCAAGACGTGTGAAATGCATCCCGCTAGAACAGAAAATCTGTGCTGAGCTAAAAGCAGGAACAGAGTGAGCTTCTCTGCAAGAAATCCTATGAAAGCATTGAGGTCCTCTAGTCTAGAAACTCCAAGCTAGTTGTAGGGCTTTCCTGCAAATCCCTCATCTTATCTTTGGCCTGCATGAATAGCCTACTACTGCAGAAAACAAAATAACAACAACAACAATAATAATAATAATAATAATAATAATAATAATAATAATAATAATAATAATAATAATAAAAGTTGGAAGGGATCTTAGAGGTCATCTACTCCAACCATTTCAGACAAATGGCTGCCCAGTCTCTTCTTAAAAACTTCCACTGTTGGAGCATTCACCATTTCTGGAGGCAGGTTGTTCCACTGGTTAATTGTTCTAACTGTCAGGAAATTTCTCCTTAGTTCTAGGTTGCTTCTCTCCTTGATTAGTTTCCACCCGTTGCTTCTTGTTCTGCCCTCAGGTGCTTTGGAGAATAGCTTGACTCCCTCTTCTTTGTGGCAGCCCTGAGATATTGGAAGTCTGCTATCATGTCCCCCCCCCATCCTTCTCTTCATTAAACTAGATATATTCAATTCCAGCAGCAACTGTTCCTTATATGTTTTAGCCTCCAGTCCCCTAATCATCTTTGTTGCTCTTCTCTGTATTCTTTCTAGAGTCTCAACATCTTTTTTACATCGTGGTGACCAAAACTGGATGCAGTATTCCAAGTATGGCCTTACCAAGGCATTGTAAAGTGGTATTAATACTTTACGTGATCTTGATGCTATCCCTCTGTTAATGCAGCCTAGCACTGTGTTGGCTTTTTTGGCAGCTGCAGCACGCTGCTGGCTCATATTTAAGTGATTGTCCACTAGGACTCGGAGATCCCTCTCACAGTTACTACTATTGAGCAAGGTACCACCTATACTATACCTGTGCATTTGGTTTTTCTTGACTAAATGTAGAACCTTGGTTTTTTCACAACTGAATTTCATTTTGTTGGATAGTGCCCAGTATTCAAGTCTGTCCAGATCCTTCTATATCTTAAGTCTGTCTTCTGGAATGTTGGCTATTCCTGCCAGCTTGGTGTTGTCTGCAAATTCCATCTATCCCCTCGTCCAAATCATTGAAGATATTGAAGAGCACTGAGCCTAGAACAGAGCCCTGGGTCATGGGTTGTGGGTTGCTCAGTACACTAGAGCAGAGTAAAAGGAGATTCAGTACACTAGACTTAACTACAAGGTGTTTGGGTAATTTATAATTGAGTATATTGTGGGAATTTGATTATTTTGTCAGCATGCTATGTTAAGGAGGACTTCATTTCCAACCTTAAAAAAGGTTTATTTCTTGGACATAACTAGTTGTGTGAACAAAGGAATTAATGTAAAGGTGGAAATGTTCCTTGGATTGTGGGCTGAAAATTGCTCCCACTGACCACAGAGGATGCCATCAGAAAGATGGAGAAATTACTGGGAGGGTGAAAAAAGAGTGTGCCATTTTTAGGATGGCAATGAAAGTCTAAAATACACACAAATTGGATCAGTGGTGACAAAATGGGCATATTTCGGCAGCATGATTTGGGACTGATTTGGGGATTTGCTGAAAATTTGATTTTGCCAACAAGTGCAATTTCAAACACAGCCATAGCAAATAGATTGCCATCTCTTACTTAACAAGTATTTTAAGTCTTCATATCCTTCTCAGAAAACCAAAATCCAAATATGAGCTGGCACCTCTTTCTCAACTTTCTCAACTTGGAAAAAAGCTACAGGAACGCTATAAGCAGTGGATTTAGAAGACATTTGGATATCCCAAATGAGATCAAAGAGTTATTTTAAGAGAAAAATGAACCTAATGAAGGATACATGTTCTTCATGAAGGTGGAAAGATTAGGAGCTGAAGCTGATGAGGCAAGAATATCAGTTTTCAGTCTTGACAGAGCCATTATATAAACAGTGAGCAGATGTTTCCCAATCTCAAGATTGGGAAAAAATAGCCAAAATTCCATTGAAGAAAATGCCTTGAATTTACACTCTAGAGCAGAGATACACATAGGGCTTGATTTTTTTTGTATGTTCTGTAGGGAGAGAGACATTGTACCTGGTCTTTAATAAAGTCGTATCTGATAAAGTTGCAAATTCCCAAGTATGAAATTAAGAATCTAAATAGTCAAGATTTATTGCTCAAAAGATGGCGATGAACATAGAGATCATCATGCAGATAGGGATAGGGATGCCATGCGTGTGCGCGCACGTGCGTGCACACACACACACACACACATACACACTCATACACATAGATAAAAGCAAAAACAGAATCCAAGGTATTTACTTTTATGGAGTTACCCCAAAACATGGCTGAGATAGGAGCAAACCATTTTATTGCCTCTAGCCATTCAATCATTAAACCTCTGGAAAAGGGTAATGTTTGGTCCCTGTCATCTCCATTAATTTCAAAATGACTTAGATCTTGCACTGGCTCAGTTGTGGGACAACTATTTCCCTATGAATGGATAACAGGAATGGATTGCCAGAGTTTTATATTTTGGAACTTCTCTGATTTTTATACTTATACTCTAATTAAGAAAAGGTACATGGGATGGATTTTCTTTCCCCCTCTTCCATTTCCTGCAACAGGTGTTGGAAGAGTGATAGAGGCGTCAGGGACTATACTTAGCAGATGTTCCAAAGGGAATGCTTCAAGCCGTATATCCCAAATAATCTATCCTATTTCCTGGAAATTCAATGGGTTAGTACAATACAATACTCCAAGTCTATCCTGGAATGGGAACCTAATCTACCCTGGAAAGTGTATGAATTAGAAATTAAATAAGTTACAGTAAATTAAATTGGTGAGATACATGTAGATTTCTCAAGCATTCAGAGTCTATGGGCTATAAAAGCAAGAAAACAAACACTGGTGGGTCCTTTTCATTTATACTCTCTCCGTCTCTCTAACAATTAATCATATTTTCCACATGGGGAAAAAAATTAAGAAAGAAGTTATTTGGGATTGCTACCTGATCCCAGGTAACTCCTTGATTTTACAGATTTTGAATTAGTCATTTCAGAAAACAAAGTACCAGAATTTTAACAGGTTTTCAATCAAACTATAAACAAACCAGGTTTTCCAAGAAAAGAAGAAGAATCTGAGTCCCTTACCTTCCTCATTTTCCATGTTGTTGTTAATTCTCAGCTTCTTCTCCAATGGTATTCAGCAGTGAGTTGAGATCTGCTCCATAAGGTTTCCTTTTAGAGGCTTACTCTTTATTTACACAGAGGCAAGAAAATTGGATTATTTATTTCTGGGGAAATTAGCCTGAGACTATCCCTACAGTTCTTCTGAGAGCTGTTGATGGTTTGTTGAGATACTGTTTCTTTCTACACTTTTATTTTTCCCTAAATTGTCTTCGGGTTCCAGAATGAATAAAAACGGCATGCATCTTGTCTTTCTGTTTCAAGAGCAAGTGTTGGCAAACAGCACTTGGTTAAGAAAAGCTGAAGTCCTCAGAACTGCAGGGAAAGAGATAAAGAGATTTTCAATGTTTTCCCTCCCCTATTTAAAAGGAGGTGGGAAATATCCTTGCATACTCAGGGATGCTTTTTGGACAGGGTCCTGTTGAAATCCTTGTCAGCCCCCAACTTCAGGGCAATGGGTCAAAGCTGGGTCCCTTCTATATCTCCCATCTCCTTCTGAGGAACAACTCCAAGTTGCTGGTATTTATCCACAGCAAAGCAGCAGGCAGAAATCTCAGCTCCCTGGTGACTGAAGCACAGACAGCTAAACTACCTTTGCTCAATTATGCTATCTCCCCCTCCTGAGCCTCTGAATCTCTCTCCTCTGGCTTTTTGCTCAGCCAGGAGGCAAACCTGTGGAAGCTGCTGGTGTCAGCCTGAGTCAGTTTGTACGTAGGAAAAGGGGAAGACAGGATGGTCTGAAAAGGAGGAGGGGGGTACACCTCTTCCCACTACCATGATTACAACAGTTGGTGACTTATCAGGCAAATTACAGATAAATAATCCTCCCCCACATTTGCTAGGAATGTTTATTTATCAAATGGGCCGAGTAAAGAATTTTCAAGGCGGAGTGTATAGTATCACAAGAAAGTCCCAGTGTTTCTCAACCTTGACCATTTTAAGGCATGTGGACTTCAATGCTGGCTGTGGAATTCTGGGAGTTGAAGTCCACATGCCTTAAAATGGTCAAGGTTGAGAAACACTGTTAACCCTTGCTCCTGAAGGTTTGGATGACCCAGACTTATTATCCACTGATTCATATACTGTGTAATTCTTTCTAATTAGATTTATAATATGATCTGAGAACTTTTGTTCTCTCCTATCACCTAGAGTGGGGAGAGAGTAGCACTCTAGATACTACTGAACCACAGTCCCCAGCATCCCTTAACATTGGCCACACTGACTAAACCCTTGGGGATTGCATTCCCTAACATGGCTGGCTGGGGAATTCTGGGAGTTGAAGTCCACTTATCTTAAAGTTGGCAAGGTTGGGAAATGCTGACCTATGGTCATTCCCAGAGATGGCTTGGGAGAGATGTAGGCAATTATCAGATGCAGGATTTGCGGTATTTGTATTACTGCTGGATGAGAAATTGAGTGCTGCTACCAGCGAAGCCGGATGGTCCCCCTAAATTTCTGCCCACGGTCCATGCTCAAAGGCACATCTGATTATTAGAATATCGAGAGCCCCCAACCAGGCCTTCATAGATTTAGGACAGCATTGAAACATTTAACAGAATTAGAGGCTTCACAAAAATTCACTCTTGCTGCTTCTTCTTCTTCTTCTTCTTCTTCTTCTTCTTCTTCTTCTTCTTCTTCTTCTTCTTCTTCTTCTTCTTCTTCTTCGTCTTCTTCTTCTTCTTATTCTTCTTCTTCTTCTTCTTCTTCTTCTTCTTCTTCTTCTTCTTCTTCTTCTTCTTCTTCTTCTTCTTCTTCTTCTTCTTCTTCTTCTTCTTCTTTGCCCTTAGGACAGAGGACAATGCCAACCCAGGAAGACCTGTTGTAGAAGAAGGACCTGCAATTATAATTATTTTTGTTGGGCATTATTGTAGATTTTGAGGTTAAAGAAATCAATTTGATGTTGAATCTATAACAGCTGCAAGATTATTGGTGGGGCAATATTGGAAGAAAAACTCTTTGCCTACTATGGAAGAATGGATACTTAAGGTGTCTAATTTAGCAGAAATGGCGAAAATCTCCGCCTACTTGAAGGACCATTCACAAGAAAGATACATTATGGTTTGGAGAAGATGGATTGATTATATTCAAAAGAAATATGAAACTGAAAAGTATTACCTTGCTTTTGAGTAGATTTTAGATAATTATTAATAGTTTTAATTATATTATTATTTTTGTTTTAATTGGTTAATATTTGTTTTGAGAAGGAATTAAAGTGTGTTATGATTTTGATTGATAGTATAGTTGGTTTATGTTAGTTAGATTATGTTTGTTTATTTGTTACCCTGTAATCAGCTCTGGGAAGTGGGGGGGAGGGGTGGGGGGCTTATATTGTAATAAATTTGTAAAACTTTTAATTAAAAAAAGAAGAAGAAGGACTTGCTATGAGAAGAAGGAGGAGATTCTAGAAACAGTGCAGAGAAGAGCAACAAAGATGATTAGGAGACTGGAGGCTAAAACATATGAAGAATGGTTACAGGAATTGGGTATGTCTAGATTAATGAAAATAAGGATTAGGGCTGACACGATAGCAGTCTTCCAATATCTAAGGGGCTGACACAAAGAAGAGAAGCTCAACCTAATCTCCAAAGCATCTGAAGGCAGGACAAGAAGCAATGGATGGAAACTGATCAAGGAGAAGACCAACCTAGCACTAAAGAGAAATTTCTGAATGGTGAGAACAAGTAACCAGTGGAACAGCTTGCCTTCAGTAGTTGTGGGTGCTCCATCACTGAAAGCTTTTAAGAAGAGACTGGGCAGTCATTTGTCTGAAATTATATAGTCACCTGCTTGAGCAGGGATTGGATTAGAACAGCGGTTCTCAACCTGTGGGTCGGGACCCCACTTGGGGTCGAACGACCATTTCACGGGGGTCGCCAAACAACACAGTCCGCCATTTTTTCCCCTTTTTCTTAGCTGTGCTACTCCCTTTTATTCTATTGGCTTTTGAAAGCCAATAGAATAGACTCTCTTGAATAGAGTCTAATTCTATTGGTTTTCAAAAGCCAATAGGAATTGTCCAGGCTGTCTCTGCCCTGCTGAGCCCGCCAAAAGTCCCATTCTGCAAACGGTGCTACAAGTTGTCTGCAGCGAAGGCGAACTGTCTGGAAGTTTCCACCCCTCCCTGCTGAGCAACTACTAAAAATGTAAGTAAAAGAGGGCCAGGGGTGGGAGGTGGGAGGCCGGCGGGTGCAGGGAGGGTTGCTGGTGCGCGTGGGGCCCGGCGGGTGCCTTACCTCCCTTGGGCTGGGCCAGCTGGTGGCCTAGCCGGTGGTCGGCCTGCACCATCTCTGCCGCTTGCCAGCTATGCCTCAGCCGGCGCAGGGGGCGGCACCACGCATGCGCAGCGCTCCCGGGCAGGGAAAGTCCTCGACTTACGACCGGTTGGATAGTCCTCGATTTACGACCGGTTGGGGGTCGCGGCATTAAAAAGGTTGAGAATCACTGGATTAGAAAATCTCCAAGGGCACACTTCAAAATCTGTTATTCTGAGGCAACTCTGACATCCTGCCAGCCCATACTTTTTTCCATAATCTCCTTCAACAAACATTCTTCCTGACCTACTGGAATTACTCAGAGATCAGATTATGACAGTTTGAGGTAGAATTTTAGTGCTTCTGGGTGTTTGTAGTTTATTCCCCCTCCCCCAGTGTAGTGACTGGAGCCCTGGGTTCCAATTATTAAGAAAATTACCTGGTTGTGGAAAGAGCAAATATGCTGCTATTTCATATTACAGTTCACAGTAGGTTTCATATTCAGTGGCATGATGGACAGCATCCATCTCATCATATCAACCGTTCAGATTTTCAGCGAATGACCATACAACATATGGAGGAGAAGGAAAAGGAAAGGGTTCTCATAATTGCCTTAATTTTATTTTTATACTGAGTAGTCCTCCAGTTACGACCACAACTGAGCCCAAAATTTCTGTTGCTAAGCGAGACAAAGTAAATTTTGGCCCATTTTACGACCTTTCTTCCCGCAGTTCTGAAATGAATCACTGCAATTGTTAAGTTAGTAACTTGGTTGTTAAGTGACTCTGGCTTCCCCATTGACTTCGTTTGTCAGAAGGTTGCAAAAGGTGATCACATGACCCCCGGGACATTGCAACCGTCATAAATATGAACCAGTTGTCAAGCATCTGAATTTTGATCACAGGGTCATGGGGATGCTGCAAGGGTCGTAAGTGTGAAAAATGTATTTACATTTCTTTTCTGCTTTCATCAGATTGATGAGGGCAACATTGCACTGAAGGAATGTATCTTTTGGGAGATGTGCACAAAATCAGCATCAGCTGTCAGGTGCAAGAATTTTGGAGCCAGGATAGAGTTCAAAAGTACTACAGGTAGTCCTCGACTTATAACAGTTTATTTTGTGACTGTTTGGAGTTACAAAGGCACTGAAAAAAGTGAAGTATGACTGTTTTTCACACTTACAACTCTTGCAGCATCCCCATGGTCACGTGATTAACATTTGGGTGCTTGGTAACTGCCATGTATTTATGATGATTGCAATGTCCTGGTGTCATGTCATCACCCAAAAAAGTCAATGGGGAAGCCAGATTCACTTAACAACTGTGTTACTAACAACTGCAGTAATTCATTTAACAGCTGTGGCAAGAAAGGTCTGCTTTCCCAGCTATTTTTTTAATATACTGGCCAAGCAGTGCTTTGCCTTCCCATGCCTCTATTCTGTTCTTCATTTGGTCTTTCTTGTAGGCCAGTTTGGTCTCTCCAGTAGTCAGTAAGCCTTCCTGATATAGTAATTTCAGTGCATCTTCATCATTGTCCTTCAGGTGTTCTTCCAAAGCCAGTTTTTCTTCTTCAACCATCTGATGTACTTGTAGCATTCCACGCCCACCTATTTGCCTTGGTAGATAAAGTCTATCAATGTCACTGCGTGGATGAAGGGCATGATTCATTGTCATTATTTTTCTGGTCTTCCTATCCATTGCTTTTAGTTCTGCTTGAGTCCAGTCCACTATTCCAGCTGTGTATCTAATGACTGGAATTGCCCAGGTGTTGATTGCCTTCATGGTATTTCCTCCATTGAGTTTGGACTTTAAGATCTTCTTCACTCTCTTGATGTATTCACCTCTAATCTTTTTCTTGACTTCAGTGTGCTTGATGTTGTCAGCTTGAAGGATACCCAAGTATTTGTAGTACTCTTCCTCATCCAGATTCTTAATGTTATTTTCGTGGGGCATCTTGATTCCTTCAGTTTTCACTATTTTTCCTTGTTTGATAGTAAGTGTGGCACATTTATCCAAGCCAAACTCCATTGCAATATCTTGGCTCTATATACAGACAGTGTTGAGCAGCAATTCTATTTCAGATGATGTTTTTCCATACAGCTTCAGATCATCCACGTAAAGGAGGTGGGATAATCTGGCAGATGTTTTTATGTTTGATAGCCATGTCCTGAGTTATTCAGTATTGTTGACAGAGGAAACAGTGCAATAACAAATAGTAGTGGTGATAATGAATCTCCCTGAAATATTCCTCTCTTGATATTAACCTCTCCCAGTCTCTCACCATTGACCTGCAACTGTGTCTTCCATTGTGCCATGATCTTTGCACAAATTTTCTGATGTTTCT